CTGTCGTCTATGTAGCGCACAATGCACTCGGTGAGACTCCGGCCGAAAAGTTAGCAAACATTGATGATACTTTGTACTTTAAGGTAAACATATACGTGCTGTGTCCTATATAGAATGACAAATGGATGCTTTTCGAATTATTGAGATCGATAACATTATATTTTTTCAGGTTAGACATTGATGACATTTTTAGGTTATAGATATTTCGTTCTGGTATCGATCCTTCCACACTAATACCTTGCTTGTACCGATATTAAAGTAGATAATATGCAGTTCATTCATAACTTTCGAGTAATACTGGTATCATCCTTTCATAGTTTTCACCCCGATCGACACATTTCCATTAGTGATTTCTGGTATCGATCCTTCCAAACTGATACCAAACTGATACCCAATGATATTAGATTATATCTCGACTCCTCTTTTACCTTTACATTATATATAATAATTCAATTTTCTTGTGATACCAGTTTTAACATTAACACTTTCCGTTTGGTGTATTAGTAACTCGACACTTTCATTCTATCCATATTATAATAATTTGTAGTTTTTTTCGACACCAGTTTTAATTTTCTTTCGATACCAGTTTTAACATTAAAACTTCCAGCTAGGTGTATTAGTAACTCAATCCTTTCCTTCTATCTACATTATAATAATTTGTAGTTTCTTTCGACACCAGTTTCACTTTTCTTTCTACACCAGTTTCAGTTTTCTTTCGATACCAGTTTTGACATTAAAACTCTCAGCTTGGTGTATCAGTAACTCGATACTTTCCTGCTATCTATCTATATACTTACTAATATCGTAGTATATTTATAACGTTGTAGAAATAATAAAGAGAAATAATATTTAATATGTAATGCAAAGAGGCAACAAAAGTATAAAAAGCATTTAATATTATATTATTGAAATACTAAGAAAATAAGGTATGTTCTTGATATAATTGACGAATTTGTTATAGATTTTAAAAAAAGAATCGAAATCTCTTCAAAAAACACCTTCGGTGTAAAAAAAACTTTGCCAAATACATTTTTATTTCCGACTTCAATTACAAAAATAGCTCAACAATGGAAATCAATTATCTTTGCCAAATACAATAGTACTTTCATATTATTAAAACACTAATCAGTTATTTTTCCCAAATGTCATAGTATATTTTGCTCCCACATAATACAAGTACATCCATTCCAAAAAATTTGTTTTGCCTCGGAATAATGTCTGGGAAAATGTTCAGTTTTCTACTTCATCTAATAAAATTAAAAAATATATAAACTAAATCTAACCATATAAATAAAATTAGAAACTCAATTTGAAAACATCATTTTATTCCTTGCTCATCACTTGCCCGATCCTCGTCGCCGACAGCTCCGAGTCTTAGAAAAATACAAGTTCCATTTTGCATACTACAAATACTACGTCTTCCTTCCGCTCGCGAATATCGTTAATTGGACGCCGACGTTCGATCTCCCGAATTCGATTCCCAAAGTGGTGACTCCGACGTGATTGAACACGCTCACGCACAAAAACCTTCTACCTTTCGTCCTACTCCGGCCTTCTAGCGGCGACTCGCCGTTTTCCCACTCTCTGGCAACTAGACTTATACATACGCACGTGCGCTCCCTAGCCTCGTACGCAACGGCGCAACCAGCCGCGAACCGCACGTGCGCGTGCACGACTCTCGCCAGGTGCGCATTGTAGCCTCGTACGCAATGGCACACTCTAGCCTCGTACATACTCACACACACGGTGCGCACTTTTCAACTGCCAGCAGACACTATATCGTTGTCACTGGCGGGCGAGTACTGTGGTGGTCATAGCATATATATACGAAGTTCTTCCTTCTACACGGGCCTTCGATAGCCCAGCGGATACGCTCACCGTTCGTACCGCGTAGTCTCTCGGGTTCGAATCCCGCTCAGGAGAGATTTCTTGGTGTCTGAGACAGGACCTGCCTGATAGCCTTACGGACGAGTCACAGACAGACCCGAGACGAAACACAACAACAATATAGGTACACATCTACACACCAACACACCAGTTTCCAAAGTAGATTGTATAAATTCGAATAAGTGACGAGTAATTTTACCCGATGAGAAGGAACAAAAGTTTCAGAATTATAAATATCAAGAGGCGGTACGGTTCGCTATATATGCCGACATTGAATGTATGTTAGAACCAGTTGCCAATACACTTCAATCAGGAAACACGGCACCAATTCAAAAACATGTTCCACACAGTATTGCGTATTACCTTAATTGTACCATTGACGAATCTTTATCAAAATTTTAAATTAAACGTGGAAGAAACTGTACTGAGTGGTTCATGAACAAATTGCAGGAATTGGCACAGTCAATAGAATTTTATCATAAACGTATCGTTCCCATGGAGCCTTTGAGTTGTACACAGATACAACAGTTTAATTCCGCGAATTTTTGTCACATTTGTGAGAAACCGTCTACGTTGCAGGATGTCAAACATTGTTACCGTTGTCATTTCACAGGCAAATAACGCGGTGCCGCATATCCAGATTATAATTTGAATTATCAGAATTCGCATACAGTTCCCATAATTTTTTACAAACTATCCGGTTACGATCCCCATTTCCTGATCAAGGCATTGGCTACCTCCTTCGAGGGTTCAATAAATCTTCTACTGATAAACAAGGAACGGTACATATAGTTTACAAAGAACGTCAAAGGTACGCGTCTTAACTTTCCATTCCTAGACTCTTTCAGGTTTATGGCGAGCAGTATCGAAAAGTTGTCACCTTATCTAAGTGATAATGAAAAATTGATTACACGTAAACATTGTAATAACGTAGAGAAATGTAAGCTATTAACGAGGAAAGGTGTCTTTCCTTCTGAGTATATGGATTCTTGGAAAAAAACTTAAGGAGAGGCGGTTACCTCCGGAAGAAAAGTTTTTTTCAAAATTAAGTAATAAGAAAATGCCCGAAAATGATTATGAATATGCATCTAAAGTTTGTCACACTTTCGGTATTCAAACATTAGGAGAATATTCGGATTTATATCTGAAGACCGATGTTACACTTTTAGCTGATATATTTGAACATTTTCAGCAGAACTGCTTCTTCACGTATAAATTAGATCCTCTACATTATTATACCGCCCTCGGACTTGCTTTCCAAGCTATGCTCAAGTGTACGGGTATCAAATTGGAACTTTTCGATCACGTGGAGATGTTGCTGTTTATCGAAAAAGGTATTCGTGGTGGCGTGGCTCAATGTTCAAACAGATATGCCAGGGCTAATAACAAATATATGGGACAAGACTTCCATGTAAATAAGGAAGAATCGTATCTCATGTACTCTGATGTTAATAATTTGTACGGTGCAGCTGTGAATAATTTCTTACCGTCTAATTTGTTCAAGTGGGAGGAAAATTTTGATCAGCTTGACATTCGCAGTATTCCCGATGATCATCCTATAGGATACATCCTCGAGGTTGACATAGAGATCGGATCGATTTAAGAAACCGTCGAATAAATTTTTTTTAAAGGAATGTTGTCTAATTGGAACCGATAACTATTTCACCAAGCCTGTAACATTCCTGTTTTAACCACCGTTCCCATGGGAGCGTCTTCCAACCAAGTATACGTGCATGAACTTGTGGCTGGAACGAAATTTTCATGGGATATCTTGGACCTCGAGCTACATACCGTATAAGAGGTCTAAGAATAATCTTCAAGGCATTCTGCGAGATGCTACCAAAATCTACGTTAAAGGATTGGAGAAGAAGACGTGGTTAAAGAGTCTTACAGAACAATCCGACCGCATCGTTAACTTAGGATATCTGGATTGTACGTAGTTGCAAAAGTTACGAAATAAGACGAACACCCGATGTTTGCATCATAACGCTTCGCATTTTAATTGTTCGACCGAGAATGTTAAACAGTTAAGGGTCTAGTTATCGAAAATAAAGAAAGAGTGACACAAGCCGTTATGCGTATTTATTTGACACACTACAAACATTGAAATTCGATATGGTTATAGTGCCTACCGAGGTACCACATGATAAGTCCATTCCCTTCGCCGGCACGCGTCATGTTTTAAAACGTATCATCGTCATCCTTCAACGCTTTTGCCATCCTCGCCGGTAGAAATACCGAGAAGCTCTTCTCGATGCTCGCCAGCAATCTCATCCCATATTTGGTTTGAACTTGTCGTATGCCGCTAATTATATAATCCACGTTAGTTTGGGGTGGAGCGGGGTCCGACGGGCAGGGATTTGTCGGCAAGGCGGTTGGGGGTAAGGGGGTCACACGCATAGACCGGCGCTGCCCCCCCCCCCCCCCCCGTGTGTGTTTGTGATTATAAAGGAGGGAAAGGACAAGTACTTTGAGCTGGTGATTCGTTAGGAACAAGGGTCATTGAGGCAGTACAAGATTTCAAAGTCCTAGGGAAATAAGCGAACTGTTGGTTTGATCGAAGATCTCTCGGAAGGCGTCACAGAAATTAGAAATTTGGACAAGAAATCAGTTTTAGCTACCAGTGCACAAAAGCAGAAGACTGTGATAACGGCCTAAGAGCGGGATTTAGGCGTCATCCAACAGCTTAAATAAAACAATTCTTACTAATGGAAAATAGGGCGGACATTACACTATATTGATAATCAAGATTGGGCCTATAGTGAAACAATAACATCGGCGATGTATGAGCTTAGTTTATCAACCAACATAGGGCTAATGTTGGGTGCCAAACTTGGATTAAGGTCGTCAGTAATGAAAGGCCAGGGTATTATGCGAAGCTTTGTTCCAAGCAAAACTTGAATATTGGCCCAACGTTGCCCCTATATAGCAAACACTGATTGGCCCAATGGGGCGCCTATAGTTAAATAATAACACCGGCGATATTCGAGTTTAGTTTATCAGCCAAAGCAGGGCCATTATTGCTTGCCAAGCTTGGACCAAGACCTTCAGCAGCAAAATCAATATGCAATTGTTTAAAACTCATCATTTTTTTTTTTACAATTACTACTTGCCATTCATTTTCAGTCGGTATTCAACACTTTTTCGGCGTAAAAATTCTGAAGGATATGGTTCAATTTGAACTCCTCCTGGTGATGGGCAAGTGCTGTGCCAACTGAGTTATCTGAAACAAGTATTACCCAATCATTTACTCAGGTATATAAATTACATGTCGATTTTACATCAGTTTGTTTTGACCCAAAACAATTTGCTAGATACTGATACAATGCATGTCGGATACACTGCATCATTAAAACTATTGGAGTCTGAGGGACACGACTCCATCATTCGCTCCACGGACGATACTAGCCTGGTGGCGCCCTCAACATGGGAGACAAGTGGCGCGCGCATCGGTACGGGAAGCAGATGGCGCGCGCGACGACACTAACGGTCGTTCGTCCTGGCGCGTGAACCGCGCATCGGCGCCTCACCTCTCTTTTTCATATCGTTTTACTTTTGCTTCCACAAAACCTGTGTACTTTGTACCATTGCCAAATAAAGTGCGTGGAACTACAACAGGTTATGGGCCCAGGCCACCGAATAAAGTAAGAACGCTGAAGGATATCGAGAAAGTGCGGAAATTGAGGTTAGGACGAAAACGTGGTCTGTATTCGCGGAACGTGGAAAAGTAGCCGTGAGGAAATGGCGTCGTCTAACACAGTGAGAATAGAACTCCTAAGTATAGACAATTTCGACACGTGGGTGATACAGATGGAAGCGATTCTAACCAAAAATGACGCATGGGGTTTCGTATCGGGTGAAAAGGTGAGGCCCGCGGTCGCGGCGACGGACAGTGCATCTGTCGAAGCAGCGAGAACGTGGGACGTCGAAGACAAGAAGGCAAAGTCGGACATTATACTCGCCATAAAATCGTCGGAATTTAAACAAATAAAAGGGTGTAATACGTCGCGTGAAGTCTGGCTGAAATTGAAGTCGATATACCAATCGAGTGGACCGGCACGCAAAGCAACGTTATTGAAGCAGTTAACCCTTCACAAGATGAACGACGATGAGGACGTGCGCGAACATATTCGAAAATTCTTCGACATCATAGACAAGTTAAGTGAAATGGAAGTAGAAATAAATCCTGATCTATTGACGGTTATGCTTCTGTACAGTCTCCCGCCGACCTTCGAAAATTTCAGGTGTGCAATCGAGTCACGCGATGAGCTACCAAACCCCGAAGTGCTACGCATAAAGATCATCGAGGAATACGACGCACGGAAGAAGGACGTGCACGAGAACAATCCCAACGCGATGTATACAAAGAAACGCTGGACGAATCAAAGAGGTCTATGTGGAACTGCAGGCAACTCAAGAAACGCATCGAGGAACGAAGACGAGTCGAAGCTCGGGCAATTCAAGTATCGGTGTCATCGATGCAGAAAAAAAGGCCACAAAGCGGTCGACTGTAACGAACCGAAGGGAGATGTCGACAAGGCAAATGTGGTTAACAATGTAAGCTTGTGCACGGAATTCGAAGAAGTACTGACCATGGAAGCACAAGATGTCAACATCGTGCAACGCGAATCAAAATGGTGCTTGGACAGTGGGTGTACCACACACATCGACAGTACAAACACCAAATTCACGGGAGCCCTTCAATCGTGTAGCAGAAACGTGAGGCTGGCGAGTACGCAAGCGTCCACGTCGATTCAAGGGAAAGGCAGTGTATCGATACTCACGGAGATTGATGGTCATCAACGGAACGTGAACGTACGAGAAGTATTGCGAGTTCCGGAACTACGAACAAACTTGCTGTCCGTAGGAAAGATTACTGACCAAAATTACTCGGTCATTTTCGACAAGGAAAAAGCTGAAGTGGTCGACAAAAATGGGAAGACCGTCCTGATTGCCGATAGGAGGGGCGGACTGTACTATATACGCGAGACAGATGACGAATACAATGCGAACGTGGAAGACATCGAGAACCCTAAAGCGAGATCCAAACTCGAAACGTGGCACGTAAAGCTGGGTGACCTGAACGTTCGTGATCTTGTTCAGTGCCAACGAAACGGAAGTGTGGAAGGCATGGATCTCGGAAAATTAGGGAGATTGGAAGATTTCGTCTGTGAAGTATGTCTGCGCAGCAAAATGACCAGGGTGCCCTTTCCGAAGGCATCGAATAGAGCTTCACAACTGTTGGAAATAATCCACAGCGACGTCATGGGACTGATGCGCGTGGAATCAAACGGAGGATCGAAATACGTCGTCACGTTTATCGATGACTACAGCAGGTGGTGTGCAATACGACTACTGAAAAGGAAAAGCGACGCACTCGAGGCGTTTAAGGAGTACAAGGCTCTTGTCAAAAATCGATTCGGAAGAAAAATACAGATATTGCAGTTAGACAACGGAAAGGAGTACCGAAACGACGCCATTGACGCATTTTTGAGAGAAAACGGAATCGGTCGGAGAACGACGGTAACCCACACGCCCGAACAAAACGGTGTCGCGGAGAGGCGAAACAGAACTCTGATGGACATGACAAGGTGCCTCCTAGCGCAATCATCATTGCCTCCGTCATTCTGGGGCGAGGCACTAAGTACGGCAAATTATATTCGCAATCGTTGTCCATCAAGAGGCCTCGGAGGGAAAACAGCCTACGAAAGGTGGACTGGAAGAATCCCGGATGTCAGTCACCTGAGAGAGTTCGGATCGGAAGTGTTCACGTTCATTCGAGGACCGAAAGAAGGAAAGCTCGCGCCACGAAGCAAGAAAGGAGTCCTCGTCGGTTACTCCGACGAGACAAAAGGGTACCGCATATGGTTGACCGACGAAAGACGAATCGATATTGCACGGGACGTAAAATTTGTGGGACTGAAGAGATCCCCAAAGCAAATTGAAAACTTCGACAGAATTACGGAGGACGACCGGGAAGATGGATCTCACACAGAAGTCATTTTTCCTGGGAGTGCGCGCAACATCGCACCCTCGGAGGACGAAGGCGAAATTGTCAACGATGATGTTGTCGAAGGAGAGATCGACAACGACGAAGACAATCAAGACGAAGAAGAAGACGACAGAACAAATCAAGACGGAGATCGCCAGGGACAACAGCGAAGAGGTCGAGGGAGGCCCAGAATTGTGAGAACCGACCAGAGAGGAAGACCTCGAAAGGAGTACAATATGGTCGATCGTGCAGGAATGATTGAAGAATTCTCGTGTCTTGCCGAGGTACCACTCGAGAGTGCTATACATGGTCAGCACGCCGAGGAATGGTATAAGCGATGGAATCGGGGCTGAAATCAATCATCGGAAGCGACACGTGGACCATCACGGATAGGCCCGAAAGGCAGACGGTTATTGGCAGTCGCATAGTGCTTCGAAATAAATACAAATGCGACGGAACCCTAAATCGGAGGAGAGCCCGCATCGTAGCAAAGGGCTTCGCTCAGAGACCTGGCGTAGATTTCAGCGAAACGTTTGCGCCAGTGGCGCGACTTAGTTCGATCAGAACAATCGTAGCTTTAGCTGCAGAAAATGACATGAACCTGAGACAATTCGACATCGCGACGGCGTACTTAAATAGTGAGCTGAAAGAGAAGGTTTTCATGGAGATTCCAAAATACACAATGGAAGTATTGGAGAGAATTGCATCAGCGGAGGCTACTGACAGCGACCTCAAGACCAAGCCGAAGAGGATGCTCCGCGAAATACTCCGGGGCGACATTGTTTTTTGAAAAAGGGCTTATACGCGCTCAAGCAGGCAGGTCGCTGTTGGTACGAGCGAATCGACCGGGAAATTGTAAATTTTGGAGCAAGAAGGTCGATCGCTGATCCGTGCGTGTACATGAAAGAGGACGGCAAGAACTTACTCCTGATCGCCATATACGTCGACGATATCGTCCTAGCTTCACAAAACAATTCCGAAATCACGAAGTTCGGTCAGCACTTATCGAATATATTTGAATTAAAGGATCTAGGGACGATACAATATTGCTTTGGGATGGAATTTGCCAGACAGAAGGACGAGAGCTCAGTCTGTCAGTCTGGCTACATCAGAGATATCCTCGACCGTTTCGGGATGTCTGATGCTAAGCCTGTATCGACACCAATGGACCCCGGTACGAAGCTGGAAAGAAAGGACGGCGAGGAAGGACCGGACGAAGCAAAGCTCCCCTATCGCGAACTTATAGGCTCCCTCATGTACCTGGCCGTGTGCACTCGACCCGACATTGCATTTACTGTCAGTTACCTTAGCCAGTTCAACTCCTGCTACGATGCCGGTCGCTGGGCCGCGGGAAAGCGTGTTCTGCGCTACCTTCAGGGAACGCAGAGATTAGGACTGAGGTTCCGGAAGACAGGAAGGACCCTAGAAAGTTTCGTGGACGCAGACTGGGGGAATTGCACGATCGACAGAAGATCCTACACCGGGTACGCATTTATCTTAGGTGGATGTCCCATCTCGTGGGAGTCCAAGAAGCAGAGGACAGTGGCATTATCATCCACGGAAGCAGAGTACATGGCACTATCAGAAGCATCGAAGGAAGCCGTGTACCTGAAGCGTTTTATCCGTGACGCTGGTTTCGACAAGATGGCCCGAGTCGACATTCTATGCGACAACAACGGAGCTCGGAGACTGGCCGAGAACCCTGTGTTCCATAATCGAAGCAAGCATATCGACGTACGTCATCGTTTTGTGCGAGAAGTCATCCTAAACGGCGAATTGAAAATCAAATATACGCCAACCGACAGAATGGCAGCGAATGGCTTGACCAAGCCGATGTCTAAGCCAAGACACCTGAAGTGCATCGAGCTCCTTGGCTTGGCAAGAATCGAAGCTCAGGGAGGAGCCCTCCGTGAATGGAGGGGGAGTATTGGAGTCTGAGGGACCCGACTTCATCATTCGCTTCACGGACGACACTAGACTGGTGGCGCCCTCGGCATGGGAGGCAGGTGGCGCGCGCATCGACACGGGAAGCAGATGGCGCGCGCGACTACACTAACGGTCGGTCGTTCTGGCGCGTGAACCCCGTATCGGCGTCTCACCTCTTTTCGTATTTTTACTTTTGCTTCCACAAACTAACCTGTGTACTCTGTGTTATTGTCCGAATAAAGTACATGGAACTACAACAAAAAGATGTTTGGGCTGATGAAAAAAATGCCGATTCAGTTATAAACATAGTGTACATATTGTACACCTTAAAATATTTATTCAAATTGTACAAAACTATTCTGCACTTAAGGGGTTGTTTCCCCCCGGTATCGCTGTTATTTGTGAAAATCCTGAAAGACGTCAACTTTATTTTTCAATTTTAAGCACGAAAATGATTTTTCCGTAATTTATTTAATTTTATTGCAAATATTATATTCAAAAACGTTTGAAAAAAAACCGTTTTTCGGGTTGCTACCCCCGAGGTCCGAATTACTGTCAGTAGTTTCGCCTACTAGAGAAAAAATTTTGTACTTTGATTTATTTCAAAACATTGATTACAACTCCAGATATTCAGAAAAAACCGTTTTAGGGGGTAAACTTTAGGGGCGATTTTCACCCCTTAAATAGGGGATTAGGCCGATAAAAAAAATTACGTGTTCCTTATTTTTCGATGCTCTACAACATACTTAAATTTCAAGAAAATCGGAGACGGACACCTCGAGGGGTTTCCTTGTAAGTGTGATGATAAACCCCCTCCAGGGTGAACAAAAGAATCTAAGTTTGTTTTTTCTGCGAATAATTAATTAGTAATAAATTCTGGTGTATCCGTCAACGATTTATTATTGCTTTTATACCGTGGCAATGCTAGCTTTATAGAAAGCTGGCATCACCACTGTTCTTCGAAAAAGTAAAACAGCAAAACATTTTTTTCTTGCGCAATAAAGTAGCAATAAATTTTGCAACAAATTTGATTGAATTGTGCTAAAGTGGCAATGCCTTTATAGACATCATAATCTGTAAATGTTGAAATTTAAATAGCATGGTAACACCAGATCGTATGAGAAGCACACATCTAGTTATTAACCCACCAAACACCACTACGTAACAATAATATAACTGTTACATAACATTTGTAACATATAAAGTAACATATATATAATATAAAAGTAAGATTTGTATTATTTCCTACGCAGCTATATAACACGGTTATAAAATGGATAATGTAACATATACATATCGGTAACATATTAGAGGTTATGTTAACCCTCTATGGGCCCGGGTAACTTTCAGGTCACATTTTAAATGAAAAATTTTTTTTCATTTGCATATATAGGTTCCTAATTGCTGATTTTTCGTTCCCCCATTTTTTTTTTATTTAAAACAAAAATTCGGCCCATAGAGGGTTAATATTATATAACAGCAATGCTAAGAAGTTTGTAACAATGTTGTCGAACCGTAATAATTTGACGTTATGTAACGTTGATGTATCTTTTGAATAACATTCGTTATATATCATGTTATTCCAGTGTTATGTAACTGTAACAACTTGATGGATATCAATTTCGCAACACGATTTCAACACTTTTTTAAATTAAAATTATGTTTCGTTAAACAAATGTCAGACAAAGGAGTAAAGGGGTATCACAAAACCGATTAACAGGCTTCAGGTCGGTAAAGTGTTCAGAAACTTTATGAAAAATAAAACATGAGTTTACTAAGATAATGCAGTTAATGATAAATGAAGAGTTGATAAATGACTGACATTGAGTCACCATCGACTGACTATTCATATCTGATTATTCAACATTTTATAATCCTTCCACAGAATAGTTTGTAAACTATTTAGACACTGCATTTTCTCCGCTATGAGGTATTTCATCTGCAAACTAAGAGCTTAAATTTCCAATCCCATCCATTAGACTGATTCTTATTTACTCTTGGCAAACCTTTTTTTGTGATTTTCTTTCATGTCGTGACATGCTCTTTCGCATTTTTCTTGGAAACAGTCAAACAAAAAAATGTCGTAGATAATGATATGCACATTTTTAACGGATCTGCAACATTTGTATAAAGGTTTTATGTATATAATTAATATTTTGCAAGATTAATTTTCTCTTTAATTTTATTGTTTTTCCATTTTCAAGGGCCCAGGGGCACCCTTTTCCTTAGTCCGATTAAGCTGAAATGTTACACGAATTATTTTTACATAAAATGGAACCAAACTGTGGGATAGCGCAAAGAAAATTCAAACTTTGAAAATAAGGAAAATGATACATATTGATCTCACCTTATTTTCTACTTACTAATATTTAATTTACTTCTGAACACAATGTTAGTAACAATCACAGAAATTCGCCACTACATGCATCAACTAATTAAATCTTTTACAGATACAGGATAAATAAAGCATCTGCCAGGTAAAAATGGCAAAATGTATATAAAAATGACGACAGAACTGAAACTGATTTCATAGGCAGTCAAGTACTCGTAAATGTTATTAAAAAATCTTCGTAGTAACCAAGGATGCTTAATATTAATATGAATAAAAACGTTACCACTTTCTGATCTAGAATCATTAATTAAAAATTTGTATCATTGCAGATATCATGAAATATTTTGGATATAATAATTCCAATTGTCGAGCAGCCACATTTGACCGCCCATTGCTGATGTATACAAAGAAGGTAACCTATACTCGACTGAAAACAAGATTGAGTCTCTCGGTAGTGTTATATTTGCTCGTTATACCAGCTCATACATATTATTCATATATTTTTCTTTTTCCATCATTAATGAATAATAAGTAGATATTGTAATCAATACCTAACCATCCACAATTTTCCATTAAAATCATCCGTTTTAACAATGCGACCACCTACGAGTAGCAGATGCCATTTTCAAATTTAATTGTTTTTTCTTTAATTCTCTTCAACAAAAAGCTTTCTCTATATAAGACAAATAGTTGGTTAATCTCAAGATATGAAAATATTTTGTCAAACTTCCAACTCATCTGTCCTTTTAACACGACCACTTGCCAACATTTAATTTGTGTAATTTGATTACTTTAACAATAAGCCACTTTTCAGCAAAAGAACGTTTAATATTTCATGAGGAAGCTTACATCGGTCTCTTATTTTTCCAATGGCATCTGTTTTGAAAATGCAACTATTTCATGCAGCATACTTATGTATTCTCAGTGTTATTCATATTTCCACTAACTTTAGCATTTAGTTCAACCTGATATTAACGATGCAAATGTAGTTAAATTTATTTAAATTTTCCAAAATTGGCTATATAGCCATCATACAGCCATCTTACAGCCGGCAGACGAGCAATTTTTTCATTTATTACAAACAGTTTACGTATCTGCAATGTTAAACCTTTGATATATTCTAAAACAATTGTTTCTATTCGTACCTATTGGGGTATAACCTCTCGCATGTTCTCGCCTTACGTCGGTCACGTACTACACGCTGCGAACGACCTTGCGATCCTCGCAACGCGGTAAAAAAAATTTCAGAGCACATGTTTATTACTCTTGATATGTAAAATAAACCATGGACGTATGAATATATGGACGGATCCCAAACAGAGATGAGTTGGGAGATTGCTCACGGGCAGGGTCG